TCTTCTGCGTCATGTGTCTATATCTTTAGATCCCCATTCTTCATTGCACATATATATATGTAGACACACACATATATATATCTACAAAATGAGTAGTAGTGAAAACGCCGACAGGTACCTGTGTACAGCAGTCCGGTATCAGATTTGTGTATTCATTCAGAAGCAGATAACACAACGCATTTGAAACATGAGACAGGCTTTTATCTTCAGTTGTCTGTTCGAATTTGCAGTGAGGAATCTGGCTTCTGTGAAGTAAGATGGTGACCCCAGTTCAGGTCGTGATATACAAAATGTCCAGATAAGAGCTGACAGTAACTGGAACTAGGTAGGCATGGCCATCTTAGTAAAAATTATTTGAAAGGGTCAGGACACTCAAATATCCTCTGCTCTTCAGAATGCTGTATATGGGTAAAGACAGAAAAGTGTTTCATTGAACAGTCGCAGAAGATGCACCTCATATGTTTATACGTTCTCTGAATGAAATATTACAGCTTAAGAGGATACCTGATTAGCACTTACAATGTATGTTGATATGGAATATATTTTTCCCCTGAAAGGAGATTTAAAAATCTCTTTGAAATCAATAGTATTAGGATATAGCTTTTAATTTTATGGTATTTTTATTCTTTGGAGCTCACATAATGAATTCTTTTTAGTCTGAAATTGTATGGGGTTTTTCATATATATTTTGCTCTGAATGGTGATCATTTCTGCCTCATTTTCTGTCTGAATAAATCATCTCAAATGTAACTGAAGTAGAGCAGTTTTGCTAGCCTGCTTGCTGATAATTATAAAATAGCTGAGGAAAATGACCTGCTATTGCTGACTTGCTTTGGAGCAGGGTGCCTTACGGTTCTGTTACTAGTCAGTCAAAATCCATTCTTTAAGTGTTGCGTGACTGTCAGTAGGCATACCAACCCATCACGGCCAAATGAACGCCTTGCAGGAGAGACGCTCAACTACCTCTCATTTATGTTTGGCAAAATGACAACGTGGAGGAAAATTAGAATCAATCAGTAGAAGCCAAAAGCTGTTGAATGTTTTTGTAGCAAGTACTGACTTGACAGGGTAAGTGGCATCAAGAGTGTTAGAATAAACGAGTTAGCTTTTATTCCTGAATTTCCTTGCTGCACAAAATTGCTGGTTTTAGCAGTGCTGGGACGAATCATGTGAAGTCTTAGAGATGTGACCCTTAGAGATGTGCCTACTAGGAGTAACAGACAAAACATTCATTTTCATCTCTGGTGAAACTGAAGTGTAAGGTAGACTTCCAGAGGCAAAACGGTAATACATTATCCAGCTCTCCTACTTCCAGTGTCACTATCTGAAAGGGCCCTGTCAACTGAAAGACCTAATACTAATTTTAGAATTCATCTAATTTTTCAACAGTAGCATCTGAAATGGCTTTAATTTAGACAGAGATTTGGGAGGAAAAGGGATAAAGTTGTCTAGTGGTATCTACTTTTCGACTTTCCTTACTTACATGAGTTTGACAGCCATTTTGTACAATTTCTTTTGTTATTTCATGTATACACTGAAGCTGTTCCTCTTACTGCTGTCAGGAGAGAGATTCATTAAAAGGGAGTTAAAACTGTTTAAAATTTTCATTGATGGAGGACAGTAAGGGCACATAACTGTGAGTTTAATAATAGTTCCTTTAAATTTCAGATGGAAGTTCTGATATTTTCATACTTACAGGCTTTATTCAATGCTCATTTTCTATCTGTAAACTCATTTTGTTATCTGTTTCTTTTTTCTTTTTAATGTAGGCATAGCAGATCAAAATAATTAGCTTCTATTATTCACACTTTAAATTAACCTTCAAAGGAAAGAAAAAGTTTTTAAAAGGTGACATAATTAAGCAAATACAGATAAACATTTACCCGCATTTTACCTCTCTTCATTTAAAAGAAAATATATCCACTTTTCACAGGTACTGGTGATCTAAGCAAGTGATCTAAAAAACATAAATAAGAAAATCGTCTGAGATGTGAGACAGGAAGGAGAACAGAAAAGGACTGCTGTGCCAATACCTGAGAACAGGGCAGCTATTTAAGCCAGGTCCTGCCTCATTTCATGAATATAACTGGCGTGGTGAACTGAAATGCCAGAAAGAGGGTGATGATGCTGAACTACACTTTTGTGGTATGATTTTTCTGTCTGAACATAAGATTTCAATAATTAAAATTTTTACAAGATGAGCCTTAGATATAATAGTGACTGGGACAATCAATTAGAAAGTTATAAAAAAAAAAAAGATGAAATTTCCTGTTGCTTTGTTTGGAATGGTTCATATGTTTCCAGGACTAATTTATGTATAGTAGTGTAAAGAAAAAAAAGCTAAATTATTGAAGACTGTTAAAGCCTCTCATTTTTGAAGGAAGTTCTTCACCTTTAGCGTCTTGTCGTCTGCATGAGGTTATCAGAGTTACTGACTTCTTAAAATAATAGTTTTCGTGTGCTCAGTGGACTTTTTTAACTGAATTCTGAAAAGATTCACCTCGTTTTATCTTGCTGCAGTGCTCTCCAAACTTGTTCACTGACTGAAATGGCCATGTTCAGTGTCCACAGAGCAAGTGAACATGGTTTGTGCCAGCAGTGCAGGGGCTTTTCAGCATTTTTTAAACTTTGTTTCTTCCATGGAAGTAAGATCTGTTCTGATACCAGGAAGCTGTAAGAACGGTCAAAATGTGCTTTTAGTGCCCTGCTTATAACTTCTCAGTGACTTGTAATGAAAGGTGCAAGCCATTTTGATTTGCCTGATTGGAAAGCAATGTGGAAACAAAAGCAAAAGAGGAAATGGGGTCTAAGAGCAGAGTGGGAGAAGGATCAGCTTAATGCCAGGAAAGAGGGAGTGTGGTTCTAAATGAAAGGATGCAGACTTTTAAAATATTTTATTTTTTAACAAAAAGTGTGTAAAGCATAATAACTTCATTTAAAAATATTAACGCTTAACATAAAAGAATAGTGAAGTTGGAAAAGTGAACACTTCTACTTTGAGAAATAGTGCAGCTAAAGTTGCCAATTGTGCATTATGGCAGCCTTTAACTTTTTTTTTTTTATCCTTTTTAAATAAATGACATGCTTTATCAGAGATACTCTGAAGGAGATCAATGAACATCTTGTCTTGCAAACACTGGAAGGCCAAGACACTTAAAACTTTCCATAATTTGCATTAATTGTCTTCCTCACTTTCTAGATAGTTAAATGGAAACATGTGCAGCCTGAGTTACAAAAATGCTAAGTGCTCACAGCTGCAAGAGCAATCCATGGGAACTCTATTCTTAACACTGAATCCCCTAAACCCAAAGCTTTATCTTCAAAATGGCAGCCTAATTAGGGGTACCTAGGGAGTTTCACCTAGTATGTCTCTTACACAGTGCCCATGTTGCAGATGGGAACTATCCTTCTGCATAGTACTGGCAATCCACGTTGTGAAGGGTACCGTAGAATCTACTTCTTTAAATTTACAGTCACTGAGAATCCTCTGTGATGGTATCATGGAATAGCATACTAGGGAATTAGTAAATCTGCATTTTGTCTGATGTTAGCATGGAACTACATGAGAAATGCCAGAGATAAATAGAAATATGAATAAAACACAGAATTTGTGAGGACAGAATCACAGAAAGGTTGAGGTTGGCGGGGGCCTCTAGAGGTCATCTGGTCCAGCCTCCTGCTCAAGCAGGGTCACCTAGAGCCAGTTGCCCAGGACCGTATCCAGATGGCTTTTGAATATCCCCATGGAAGGAGACTCCAGAACCTCTCTGGGCAACCTGTGCCAGTGCTCAGTCACCCTCAGAGTAAAAAAGTGTTTCCTGATATTCAGAGGGAACCTCCTATGTTTCAGCTTGTGCCCATTGCCTCTGGTCCTGTCACTGGGCACCACTGAAAAGAGCCTGCCCCCCCTGTCTGTGCACTCTTCCTTCAGGTATTTGTGCATGTTGATGAGATCCCCTCTGAGCTTTCTCTTCTCCAGGCTGAAAAGTCCCAGCTCTCTCAACCTCTCCTCATAGGAGAGATGCTTCAGTCTCTTAATCATCTTTGTGGCCCTTAACTGGACAGATGTGATGTGAACAGACAATTAAAGAGGGAATGTTAATTCCCATGGATTTGAGTTGAACAAGAATGCTCAGTCTAGCATTTTCTATAGGCTAGACAAATTGTTTGACTTTATTATTTTTATATGTATTATAAAGGTGTTTTTACAAGTGTTAAAACAATTATACTTCACTATGGTGGGACTTCCACCTACTTTCGTATCTATCTTTAGCTGTGAAGCTGCAGAGTTACTGCCTGGACTGTTAATGCTTGACCTACCAGTAACAGGAGAAAGCTGCCATTTGATAGAGAAAAGAACTTCTAGTTTTGTATGATGGGTCTTTCGGAGTCTGTAGGAAGCTGGACTACCATCCTTTTCTCTAACCTTCTTTTCTCCTCCTCATGTACCACTAGGAGAGAATGTTTAGGACAGCATATGATATGTGAGAGAGGTGATGACAGCCACCAGCACCCCTTTTGAATTTATTTCCAAGGATTCTATAGCAGTCCAGAAAACAAATTAGAGGGGTTTATAATTAATTTTCAAAAAGTATTGTCATCTAATTTCTGACAAAGATGATAACTGTAATTCCAAAACTGGTAGAAAAGACTAACAACTGTAATTCCTGAAATCTTCTTTACTTGGAGCAGACAACATATACTTTTTATGAATTGCTGTAATTCTCTAGTAATTAAGTACGATAATCAGTCTTGATGACATACCATGCATGTAGCCAGAAATTCAACTCTGCGCTTTAAAGAAATCCTGGCTTTGTGCAGGCGTTCAAATTAAGTTTTCTTCTGTTTTGTCATTTTGTCTGTGCCATACCACAAAGGGGATCAAGTTCACTGTTTTAGGCCTATGAAATGTGAAGAGATGCCTCATAGTTATTTAGAGATCTTTGGCCTGTACAGTTGAAGATAAATGTTCATGTTTTCTGATTGGTTTTCATTCACAGTGCATGCATTGGATCCCAAGACCCTTACTGTGGCTGGGACATGGTGATGAAGAAATGCACAACACTGGAAGAAAGTCTGAGCATGAGTCAATGGGAGCAAAGTATTACTGTGTGTCCAGTAAGTCCAAATGCATTCATTTATCTCCTAAAACTTTTGATTCCATGTGAATTTCATGAAAATGAGCTGGCATAGATTTTTCAAGCTCGGAAAACTGTATTTAATGGCATTTTCCTCAGGACTTCCCATCAGATTTTAACAAGATTTTTAGTTTACTTTGTATTTCTTATCAAATTACTTCTATAATATGATCAAATTATTTATAGTACATTCAAAGGGTAGTTGTTTTCTACCTGTAATGTCTGTGTTCCACCTTGAAAGCGAATGTTCACTAAGATTAGAGATGTTGACATGTTTTTCTCTGCAAGATTTTTCTCAATTTTGTGCTTTGAAAAAATTTAATTGCTGGTGGTATAATCTTATATTTTAGGATCATTATTGCTAATATAAAAGGCCATGTAGCATCTTTCAAAGTCCATGAATTGGAAGAGTGAACTGTATGAATTAAGTCTCACCCACATAAATGACAGGAGTGATAATGATAATAAACTTAGTATTAATATTTACAGTGGCTTAACACTTCTCTTTAAAAATTATTTTGAATACATTTAATATAATAAAAAATAAACAACGATCTTGATTTATATCCCTCCTTTTTAATGTGGTTCCAGTGTTCCAGTGTTGTTTTAATATAAATTCTTTTCCCTCACTCCGAAGAGTACAAAAAGAGGGTTAAGAAGGATCTTTCTTATGCTACTAAGCTTTTTTCTTTGGAGACTCATTCTGCTTTGTCTTTGCCTTCTGCCCATGAAGAGGGACCCTTTCCAACTCAATTCTGCTTTCATCGCTAATAAGAACTTGTCCCTACTCACCACTGCAGCACATGCATCTATTAATTTATTAATTTATGGTCATACAACATCCATGTTCTATTCTCCATGTGTTTAACAAGCTCCTTTTAACATCTTACTGACATAAGCTGGGCATTGTTTGGTGAACTAGACACGTGCAACGTTGGTATAAAGTTCTTCCAGCTTTCACTTGTGTTCTCTACATGTGTTGCAGCAGCCTCATAGATACAAATTACTGCACTGATTCTGAGGTACTTGAGAATTAGCTGCTGTGTTCTGGCTGTCTGTGTTTGACACTAAATAGTAATTTTTTAAACAATATCTTATCCTCTCCTTTGTATCCATGCTCTCACATAGTGGCCTAATAAAAAAGGCTTGCATTGGATTCATCTGCATTAGAATTTTAGCTCAAATTAGGAGCACCTTTGGGGCAAATACTCTGATTATTGCCATCTACTGTCCTTTGGTTCACGTCACAAAACAGTCTTGAGGCACACAAGGCACATTACTTTCAGATGAAATTAAACCAAAAATGTCCTCCAACTACTACCAGGCATTTGATCCATGGCTAGAGCAAGTCCAAAGTAAAGCCCACAAAATATGTAAGGTGTATGTGTCAAGTCATCAACACCAATTGTTTTGTTTCCAGATTTGCAGTTTATGTGCCTACCACTTGCTAATATAGACATAGCTATAGTCTCACAAAAAATCTGGATTCAGTCAGTAGTGCAGTCCTTGCCTCCCTGATTGGCAAGTAACTAGATGCACTGTACAGTATATTCACTTCCAAGTACACGGAGTATATCATATCTCTCTGTGGTAATCCCACAGGCTAAATGTGGTTATGTGGGGGGTTTGCTGGTGACCTAGTTGGGTTGTTGTATTAGGAAGAATTACTGGAATGGGTTGGCTGGTTGATATTTGCGTGAGCAGTTCGCCTGCTGCTTAGTCTTTGAATTCTGGCATTAGCCCTTATTTTCTCTCATAGATACAAAATGTGAGGCCAAGAGGGGTGCAGGAGGAGGGAGGAACTGTTTAGAAAGCAGAATTCAATTCTAGTCCGTTCAACTGGAAAAACAATTATTTAGTATCTATTATACTATCGTTGTGTAGGATCTGACAGTCTAGTCAAAGCAGGGAAGCACCAAAGGATTGCTCAGATATTCATCCACAGCCATGAGACCTATTCTGCGTATCAGAGATGAAAAGACTTAACGAGTGTCCAAAGGAATGCTGGCGATGAGTAGACTGGGATTGGATAATATAAGGAAAATTTTAGAATTAACTCTTTAAATTGAAAAGCATGGTTTTACCACTTTACTGTCTTAAACCCCTGAACTCTAAGTAACACATTATTGAACAAATCTGAAAACTTCATAGAAACTTTCCTTTAAAATAAAACTGTATTTTGGCAGATGGCAATTGATTACAATTTTGCTTAGTGAGGCTTTCAAATATTTGTTTTTATGGCATTTTTATGTGCTGTATTCACAGGGTACATAAGCCAAGATGTAGTGAATTTCATTTTGTAGATGGCTGAGCTATGTGTATGGTTGACATTTGCTATATACATTTAAGATAGTGCTGCAGGCAGAACATAACAGAATATAAGAAACCTTCTACCCTCCAATTTTAGTTCCAATTTGTTCCAATATCTCAATTTTTAGTAGAACTACACTGATCTTTTTAACACTGTAGAAAGTTTGTCAGATTAATGCATGACCAGTTTCTTCTAAACTCCTATCAGGGAGAAAAGGCTGTTTATACACTAGTTTAGTCCAAAGTTGAAAGCGTGACCAGTTGCACTTGAGAAATTTTTTCCTAGGGAATTATTCATATACCTGAATATTTATTGGCATTTCATGATAGAGCAGGGAGGGGGCTAGTAGAGGTAGATGAGCATCTGTGTTACCATCTCTCTGAAATTTGAAGATCATTTGTGACAAATATGCTTATTTTGGTTATCTTGCTTTGATTTAACTCTCAAGTTGTTTTTTTAGGTTATCGTTTCAGTTGTCATGAGTACAGCCATTTGTGCATGAATATAGATAGTAATTAATGCTATGGCACATATATCTACTTTGAGCTTCTTCCAGTTGGTCAGATATCCCTGTTATTCATCAAATAATTTTATAGTAATGAAGGTTCATTGTTTTACCAAAATACTTTCCAGTGGGACCACTTGGAATCCATCACTTAAAAATACATTGTCTGACATTGTCAAAGAGCTTTTACAAAAAAAGTAAAAACAATTTTTTAAAAAGTTGGGTGAAATACTCCAGAGCCACTGAATTCTGCACAAAGTAATCTCAAACCAAAGAACTCATGGCAGATTTAAGGACTGGGTCACTGAAGGCATGACCTTGACTCAGCATGCAGAGGCAGAAGCTGGGAAGACAAGGTGGGTGCAGAGAGGCTTAAGACGAAGAAGATTTGGTGGACATTAAGAGGGAAGAAGGGACTAGAGGTATTTGCAGAAGGGAAAGGGTGATGAAAACAGGGTGACAGAGAGGGAAAGCAGAGTGTAGCTAAGTTCTGTCAGTACTTTCCCTGCCACTTGACAGAAATTATGGTAACTATAGACGACTGTAGCTTCAGTTGATAATTGTAGGGGCAACAATAAAGATGCTTTGGTGCAGTGCAGAAACAGAAATCAGGAAAAACATTTTCACATCTCTGACATTAATTGGATTGGGGACATATCATTGCTAGTTTATGGACTATGTATTTGTTACGCTAACAGTGTAAGAGAGAATGGGTTTACTTGTCACTTAACAAGAAGTAAGTATTTCCTGTTATGAAAAAGAACAGTGTATACTCTGCATGAGTGAAGGTCGGTGAGTTATTTTCAATGAACAGCTGTCAGCAGAATTTTGAAATGATGAATTATGGTTATGTCAGTTGTAGTTGGCAGAATATACACATAGCTGTTCTGCGGAGAAGCTGTATCTGTGAAAAATAAATCATGAGAAATGTAATTAATAGTGAAACTATGGAACCTTTACCACAGTGGAAAGAACCAGCCAGTTCCCAGCGTGGCAGTGGAAACATGTCTTGCACTGTAATCAAATCTCTTGTATCTTCAAATTATGAGTGAAATGTATACTTCCCTCACCACTGTTAAAATGAAACAATACTAAAAATAGCAAAGGGAGACACCATTTCAGATCACTGATGACAATCTACAACTGTAGTTCCTATTTCAATATATAAGCAAATGTTAAAGTGTTACATTCTTATACATTTGATAAAATATGCATGGCTACAGCTGATACATGTTTATTTTTATCTAAGAGCGACTTTAAATGCTGTTTAGCCTGCACTTGTTAGTACTGTTGTTTTGACTGAAAGTTAAAATGTGACAAGCAAAAGGCAAATCCTTTAAGTGAAAAAGTGGCCATTGTTTCCGTTTATGATCACAGGTTTGTCAAGATTAACGCCTTGCTAAAAGAATTAATAATATGAAAGTGTGTCTTTGTTAAGAGTGCGGAATTCCTCATGTTCAGCCCCATTTTTTTTAGAAGTTCCAGTAACCATGGAGGCTGCTGCAATTTCCATTAGCGCATTTTGTTTCAGCTGGACACTAAAGATTTCTCATTAACACGTGCTATGGCTGCATGACAGAAACATTCCGGTCAAGGTGAGAATGGTCCAACCCTTCCAGCCAAAGGTGTTGAGAATTTACTTTAGTGGGAGCAAGTGGTCTCATCATGTAGGGTTAAGAGCTGCTTTTTGAAGGTGTTTTTAGGTTTTATACATATAATTACATCTGATGTTTAGAGAGAGTCATATTTAAAACCACATTTCACTTTTATTAAATTGTTCTATATGATATATGCTTCAAAAAACTGTTGTCACAAAAGACACTCATCATGGAGATTTGAGGTTGATTCATCCAGTTTTGTTACCCTGGACTATTATCCTCTGCTGCCTTTCCCTTTTGATCTAGATTTGGGTTTCTATAAGCTAATCACAGGTAAATTTTAGGAAATAGGGGATACTGCCATCAGAAGATAGTTGAGAAAGGGAAGCTATACTTTCTATTGAATCACCGTGAGCAAGCATGGTTGCGAAAGGTAACGGTTAGTTGTGATTGTTGTTATTGCTATAGTGGTGGCATCCAGTGGCCCAGATTGGTTTCAGGCAGTGGGAATCATGCAGCTACAGAAATTACAAGGGGAGCTTACTGTCTAGAAGTTATACCTCTTCAGTAGAGGCTTTTACTGTTGGTGGGTGAAGGCTGTACCTCCATGTACTGCAGAAGTAAGAGGTTGTATGAATGGACTGTCAGGCCTCAGGTAAGCCTTTCTGTTGTGTTTGTTTCTAGATGAGGAATCTGACAGTGGATGGGCATTTTGGAACGTGGTCGCAGTGGAAACCTTGCACTCACACCGATGGTGCCAGTGTTGGCTCCTGCCTCTGCAGGACACGTGTGTGTGACAGTCCTGCTCCTCAGTGTGGAGGCTGGCTGTGTGAAGGACCAACCATGGAGATTGCCAACTGTTCCAGGTACACAAAACAATTTCAGGCTCTATCGTTTCTTGTTTCAAAGTTTTTAACTTAATCAGAATAGAACCTATCCTTTTAAACGTCGTCTGCAATCCACTGATCCTGTTCAGTGCATGAAACAGCTGATAGCAATGGCCACAGCAAAAGAGACATTAGAAAGTATCTCTTAGACGTAGTGGGAGAGAGAATGAGCCAGATGGCAAGCAGTGATTTCAGATGCTGTATACCAAATAATATTGCCCTCAGCTAATTTTAACAAAACCTCAGAAAGAAAAAAATCAGTGTTAGCTAATATCCAAAGTATGCTACTTTTTCTCAGTCCTGTAGCCATAAAACTTTTTTTCTGTTTAGTCAGAACAGTTTACTTTTCTGGATGTCTCATGTCACTGTTGTATTCCCCCATTCTGCCTTGGGAAAAATGTCTGCATTATAGCTTTTGGCATCATGACATCTAGATCTATTACCATTCTGTATGCCACTCTTTAGCCACTCTTTTGTCTTCCTCAGGCACGTAACCAATCCCAGAAGAAACAGCGAGAGCAGATAATTTCAAAGAGACTCAGAACACTGCATATTCTGAACTGCATTAGGAGTTTGTGGTTAAAACATTATACATGCTTTAACTGCAAGATGAAACACATATACTCGTGCATTCTGATCATTTTCAGTGATTCTTTCTGCTTTATGTCTCTGCTTTTTTTTTTAAAAAAAACATCAGAAGCACATCATGGTAGTGAATAAAACTGATTATCCTTCTGCACAAGATAACTGCAAGCTGTGTAAGTGGAAACAGTCAATTTTAGGGAAATTATTAAAAAGATAACAATATAGTATATAATAGCAGATCAGGAGAATGGTAGAAAAGATAAGCATGCTTTGAGAGATGGAACAATCAAACAACAGTTATCGGCTGTCAGGTTTAGGAGGGAATTTGGAACATGATTTGGAACTTGATTCACATACTACCATTGGCAGTATTACACTGCTATTTTAACATCTTACTGCTATTAACACTGCTATATTAGCAGTTGATTTCAAGAAATCACAGGTATCCAGATATTTTGTTCATTTTACCACTTGGGTCAGACACTGCACTGACAGAGATCTTACTTTTTTGGTCTGTGTTGCTAGTTATATCTGATTATTCTTTCAAAAGCTCTTTTTCTGTGTTAGCAACTTTTATATCCTTTATAATAAGAACACATCAAGATGAGTGAAATTTAAATTGGTAATATTTGTGACAAATTACTTGAATAATCTTATGTCATTTTTATTACTGGATTTAATTAGTTTTCATTGTTAAAAATAAGTTATTTCAAAATCAAATGAGGCACTATTATAACTTCTGCTTTTATGTTGAAACCTCAAGAGCTCATTATAGTTTAGTTTTATTTTTCTTATTTTCTGTTTGTCTTCTACCAATACAGAAACTGCCAGCTAGCCATCAGAAGGTTTTGGGAACTGCTGAAGTGCGTCTTTTTTTGCTTAGGACAGGGTGTGAAATTCCTTTTGAGATGTTTGGTCTAGTGTATTTTTTCCTAGAGTATATTGGGGAGGGGCCAGAGTGTCCTTTCCAAAAGTTCACAAATGCAGGGGACAGCATGTGAATTCTGTTAGCTTTTTTGTTACGTTACAAAAAAGATAATGGTGCGTTGTCGGAGTATCCTGTGGAAATTGTGAATTAATGCATTTTAACACTTAAGTATTATTTTTTTTCATTTAATCACTTTCAGAAGAGGTAGCGAAACTTGACATTTTAATTTCCCTGAAAAAAAAAAGACCCACAAATAACAATTGGAACAATATGTAATGAAAAGTTACCATCAGAACTTTGATGCAGGTGTTTGCAGTTGAAGTTTACCCAGAATAAAGTGACTGAAAGCAACTAAATAGCTTCATATCTTTGTACTTCACTTCTTATGTAATGAGGTATTTTAGCAGTTGCTGATTACAAAGCATGGAATATGGAAGAATCAGAGCACCTTTATTTTAGTTCAAGGTTCTTTAAGAAACGGAACACGATGCAGTATTAATGACTTCTACAGAAATATTAATGGGCCAAATTCTGCTGTCAGTCACACCTAATCAGCCATTCGCTATGTATAACAGATGACAGAGCCTGAGCTTTTTATTCTACCAGAAATGGAGGCTGGACACCATGGACTTCTTGGTCACCTTGTAGTACCACTTGTGGAATAGGCTTTCAAGTTCGTCAGCGTTCCTGCAGCAATCCAGCCCCTCGACATGGAGGACGTGTCTGTGTGGGACAGAATCGTGAGGAGAGGTGAGCTATCTTTTTTATACTGTCTGTTTTAATTTCTTCTGCTCAGCTGTGTTTCACAGGACATTTTCTCCTTTACCTGCCTTGTTTTTCTCTTCCCTTTCCTTTCTCTCTCTCATTAACTCCACTGCTGCACAATAGCAGTATTCCCGTTAGCAAAGCTGTGAGTCTGTAGCGGTTCTTTCGTATTTCACCTAGCTGCATCCCTCCTGAGCCAGCTGAGAGCTCCTGGTAGTGCCAGAGAATTGTGCTGAAGCAATGCGCTGCTGTCTCTTGAGACCTTGAAAATTGGTTCTCCTTGAAAACTGATTGCAGTGTGTTTGAATTGTAACTTGCCCAGCCTCAAGACCTGGATTTCAGAGCAAAATATAGCAGGGTCACAGCACTAAGTTACCAATGCTGTGAGTTCATTTTTTTCTGTCTTAAATGAATTAAGCATCTATATAACATGAAAGGAAGTTTCAAGGGCTGTGGTTTATATTCAATATATATAATACACCTTAGATTCACATATCTATTAGTAAGGTTTGGGGGGGGGTGTTAATTGTTTGTATATATATTAACCCCTGAGCAGATCAAGTCAGCTCAATTTTTATTTCACTGTCTACTACTTCGGCACCAGGCTGGATATTTTGTCACTAGCTCAGAATGTAAAGCTCAGGCCTCTGATTCCATTTTACATGCACCCTAACATCTCTAGTTTATAATTTGTGTGTTAGGAATTTTAACAGGAATTAAATATTCCTTTAAATGAAACTAGAATATATTCAGATAAACTGCAACTCGTAGATCTATTATGTTGTTTCCCAAGGCATGCCAAAAAGCTGGATAGCAGAAAACTGGTCTTGGTGTAAGAACTGGAGTCATCCATTCCAAGAGATGTGTGCGGATACATTTCCTCTCAGTATGCACTTGCGGCTTACTTCAGTGTTTCTTTACAGATGATGTAGTATCCTATATTGCTGTTGGATGAAAGGAAGATTCAGTAACCTTTACATGAGTTTCAGTGAGGGATTTAATTATGCACCAACTCTGGCATTTCTTCAGGTGAAGAGACTGCATTGAAGGGAAGTTACATCACACATTTACGTATTAACAGATCATCAGGGATCTGGTCTTTCTAACTCTAAATGCAAAGGATCAGTATCACAGAACATATGAAGCCTTCTTGCTGTTTCAGAGCCATGAATATTTACAGTTTTATCACAGAGGAGAGCATTTTGTTATTTTGTAAATTGCTTTCTGAAAATGGGTTGCCCAACCAAAATGCTATCACCACCAAATGTAGATTATATCTGCATTACATAGCTCTATCTCAGCATGAATAACAGTTATTGATTTCCTTGATCTGAGAGGTCAGTCCAGGGCAGGACACAAGAAGACTGAATAGAGAAGAAAAGAGTTTAACTTGGATAGACTTTTGGTGATGGACTGTGAATGCTAGTAGTCATTGTTCATCTTAAGTTTCACATGGAATAAAAGTCCAATAAGGAGTTTCAGAGAAATACAGAAAACCGTGAGAAATATTTCCATAATTACAGGACAAATTGTTCAGTATTAAGAAAAAGGGTGCACTAATAAAGCAGTTACAAAAAAGGAAAGTGATATTTACAATGAGTTGAAGTAATAGCGGCCCAGAAGGATAGAATTTTGGTAACAGTTCTGAAGGAACAGCGGGCTTTTATTTCTTTGCTTTTGTAGCCTGCAGGTTACGTGTCCAGTTCGGCAGCAATCTGGGATGTACGTGCCTGTGAGTTTACTGCGGGATGCCTTTTTCTCTCATAGTTCCTCTGTCACTGTTTGCTGTCTCCTTGAAACGCCCTCCACTCCCACTGGCCCTGCACCTTCCTCTCACTCACTAGCTTGCTCACAGCTGACCTTCCTGCCCCTACCCTGATTTTAAGTTATCTGTGATGTGTGCTGATACTTTTAAAGGTTGGGGTTTTGTTTTTTTTTTAAAAGTACTTTAAAAATTTATTTCCAGAAGGTGTGGTATGTTAGGAAGTTTTGCCATATCATTTGTAAAGCAGCTAGAGGAATGGCACACCGGTTATTTGCCAGGATTTTTTTCAGTGTCAGGCCAAGTACTTGGATATATCTGTTCAACGCTGTAAAATGCAGAGTCCTGGGAAACTCGCCAGCCAGGGCCCATCCCACCGCTCCCAGCAGGGGAGCGGGGCAGTCCCAGAGGTTGTGGCTACATCCAGTCAAGAGCCATAGGTGATATCATGGCAATGAGGCAGGTCTGAGGTCCAGCTGGGAAGCCAAGCTGCAGACCAGGGTCAGGACCTGGTTCAGTGGCCACCAGGCAGGTCTATAGCAACAGGGCCAGAAGCCAGTCCACACATTGAGGTCTAGACCAAGGGGTTCCATGGTGTGCCAAGGGCAAGGTCCAGCACTTCTCCAACAGCACAGCTCAGAGAGGGATTGAAGGTCCCTGGCAGAACTTAAATAGAGCTCTTGGCCCTGTGGGTGTGGGTGGATGTCCCAGGTGAGGCTGGTTGGGGCCATTAGGGCTTTATGAGTGTCCTCAGGGTTCTGACAGCTTTGTTAAGAGAGTTTTGAGCTGTGAGGGCAATGGAATTACCAGCATTTACAGTACTTCTAATTCACTGCTTCACTCCAGTATTGCTGGAGTTACATCTGCACCAAAAGGAAACAGTAGATTTGAGAAATGGGCCCAGTACATTTAGGCAAACTGAGCAAATATTCCACATGCAGTTAATTCCTAAGAAATGTTTACCTCGATTTTGTATCCAGAGTACCAATAAGCAGCTTCTCAGATTTTCTCATTTAAATTAATTGATGCTTATAAATAGCCTAACAGTTTACTTTCTTAATGACCCAGCTCATATGTAAAATGAATGAAAGTGTGGTCTTAGTAAAAATCAGAATTAGTTGGTTTACAGATTATGTGCATTTGTCCTTATGAAAGTGCATATTCATGTCATGTTCACGTATTCAGGGACGTAGATATGCGATTCAGTTTCTACAGCCAACATTGTGCCAAACTTTGAAACAGCTTTTCAACAAACAGTGATTTCAGTAGAAGTCCAGTGCAGAACTCCACAGAAAGCAAACACAGAAAAGGCAGCGTATAGCTGAGGTAAATTCACCTGCAGGTGTGAATGCATATTCAGTTTGAGAGTATTTGTTCAAGCATTAAGAGATAAATGTTTGTCTAAGTTAGGTTTGTTTCACCTCATGAAAGCCATGATCCTATCATGGCTAATGTATCAGGCAGCTCTGTGCTTGCTGGTCATTCACTTGAAATCAATGGCAATATTTACAAATTTAGGATGTTTCAGATAGGTTAAGCCAGGCTCTGCTGCTAAAGGGGTGTGGAGGGGGTGGAAACCAGTTGAGCAAGAGCAGCGAAGACTCGTATTACAAAGCCAATATGCCTTGTAGAAAGAAGTCAGAAGTGCAGCTGATGTACGTTTAGACAGAATATGGAGAGGGAGTTAAAAATAGTATTTTAATAAAATTTGCTAATCAGATAAAATAATTTTGTAATTAAGACTCCAGGTGGAAGACATCCTGACAAATTCCTTATGGGCTTAAAAATTTCTGTTTTTTCCTGCATCAGAAATATTCACTGAAGCTGCTGGAAAGCTCTAGGTTTTATTTTACAGAGTCTGTAGTATCCTGTCTTGATGTTTTCATTGTGTGAAAATGTTTGTCCTCTCCTTTCTGTGGAAGATGCTGTGGATATGGGCTCATTAAGTCCACTGGTCTCCCTCCTATCTATGCAGAAATGAGGGAAGCTAGAATGAGAATCCCTTGCTTTTAGTGAGTGTTGTGATCTTGTATTACATAGGGAAAAAAGAGAGGCAGCATGGCAATTTGGAAGCAGAAAAATAAATTAGCTTCAGATCAGGAGTAAACATTTGAAAGCCCTGGAAATTTTTGGGTGTATAAGAAGATTAGAAGCAGTACATATTGTCATTAGTTTTTTTGTACACATCTTCAGCTGATATTCAGAACTCTTGGGCTTGTTGCCGTGAGAAGGAGGAACTGCTGGGAGTCAAGTGCCTGCTCCATGCAGCACTGCTTGTTTCCAAGCAGTGTGAACAAGCCTGGTCCCCTTCAGCAGAGCAGATCGAACACCACGAGGCTTTGGGCTTCCTTGCGCTCCCATGGCTGCCCTATCCGCTGGGAAGTGTGGGCTCCCATCCTCCTCGCTTTCTCTGCTCCCTCCTTTTCTTCCACAGAAGCCCCTGGGAGCACACGCCCCAGCCCTCGCCACCCTCCAGTCTCCTGGGTGGGGATTTCTGTCAATTCAGCAGTCTCAGTCCAGTGAGGCATGCGTGTGCGTCAGGTGCCTGCCTTCAGTTAAAGGAATCCAGCGTTCCCATCAGCCTCAGTATAGTCTGTGCTTCCCAGTAAGTCACCAGCTGGTGATCACGAGTACCTGCCATGCGACAGTATATTGCATGGGAATGGGCAGGCAGTGATGAAGGTTAGTTTGATTTTCTTAAATACATGCTAGTATCACATAGTTTAAGAACTATGTGTTTAAATTCAGTAGCATCTTTCTGCAGAAGAAAAAAGACACATTTGTAACTGTCATGCAGTTAGCCTGTGGTACTCAGTGCTGTGTGGCAACACTGAAATAAATTGATGTTTTACTAAAGGGTGAGATCTTGACAGGAGCAAGAATAGTGATTCCATTTGTACTGGCATTGCCTGAAGTAAAAATTAAAAAATTACTGTAGGAACTAGGGGTTGTGGACACAACCGGACAGAGGATGCTTTCCCTTCCCCCAATATGACAATCCCTTTATTAGGGCATTTGAACTTGGATTCACTGCAAGGGAAACAGCAAGGGTCACTGTACAAAACCCACATTTCTCTAGGCTGTTCTCCCTTCTGACCTCATTGCAGTTACATTAGGGGAGAGGGCAGTGGTTTCACAGATTCAAGTTTCTTGCATTGCATGTTTTGTTGAATTACTGTAAAATGTTAGCCCTGTGGGTCCTGAGAACAAAATTAAGAGGGGAAGAAAGAGCAAAAGGGAAAAAGGGTTATTGAGTGACTTGAAATGCAGCCAAGAAGAGATATAATGAAACTTGGCTCAAAGGCCCATGCTGTAGCACAGCTCTCAAAAATCAATTGCAGGGGTGTTTCTAGCTGTGAAAACATACCTGATGTTTTCAGAGACTGGCTGGATGAAATGAAAGTAAGATTCTACTTGTACACTGTGTTGTGTTTTTTACTTTTCCTGAAAAAAAGGAAAAATTGCCACTTCTGTTGATTTTTCAAATTTTTTTTTCCTAAATTGAAGTTAAGTAGCTTGCATAGGCATTTTAGGGCTTTTTTGAGTTTTGTCTTGTAGTTTCAACTGAATCTTTAAGTAGCGTTAACAGAATTTTCCAGCCTTTGAAGCGCTTACTGAGTCAGTTGTTAGGTTTCTTTTGTCTTCCGCTGAAGTAAGCGAGCAGATGATGGGGTGCATTGGTACTAGGAGGCACTGTATAGCGTCATGTATCTCATCTAAGTGAAATTCAGCACACATAACTTCAGGTGTCCCCTCATGTGAGTGCTACTGTGTGAGTGAGGTGCCTGAACTTCCACTACAGTTTGTAGAAATCTGGTCAATACAGGCTGTGGAGAACAGAGTGTTTTGTCTTTTTCTACTGTATATTCCTTAATTTGGTCAAATTAATCATTCTAGCCTCCATAGCTTGTATTGACAAAATTTCCATCAACAGTAGTGGGAGCTTAGATGTCTGTGTCATATGCAGCCTTTAGAGTCAATGGAGAGAAATCAGTATATTGAGGGCTGTGTTTGTATGACCCACGTTAAACATTTGCTTTACGGTGACCTAAATTGTGTTTTTAAAAGGGCTGTTTCTTTCCATGAACTGTTGCTCAAGTTTAGATGACTACATCATTTGTAGACAGCTACACTGTACATGCCTATTTTTTCAGGCGAGATGAGTCCCACTCTTAATTTTACTTCTTTCATGACTGAATATCGGTAATTGTCAACATCATGGCAGACTTGCTTTATCCTGTGTGTGTCCCAAATTAACTTAGCACATCTCCATTAAGAACTAATGAAATTTTGCAAAATGTGTACTCATTTGTCTAAATAAACGGTGATATTACATCTATGTTTCATTGGGTATAAGTTCTCAACAAACGATCACAGAGACAAACTATCACAAATATTCACATAAAAGACTGCGTGTGACAAAGAATGTGTGCAGCTGTTTGAGTTTTGGGAGAAGAATATCCAGGCACAAAACATTCCTCTGCATTTTTAGTGATAGCATAATGCAGACTGTGAACTGCAAATATTGAACAGGCAGGGGGAAATAAAGGTAGTTTATGTGTAAGCGACTGTTGAATAACTTTGACCCAGATCACGCACTGAAGAATTCTGAGACAGCAGATTCATAAAGATTGAGGGTTTGGGGTTTTTTTCCTCAGTTTACTAGTAAACAGCAGACGTGTTCAATACAAGCTGTTAATAGTTTCCTTAACTATACAGAAACACAAAACTAAATGTCACTCCCCTATTTACCCTACTTCCAACCTTTTAAATTTTGATTGAGTTGCTCAGACTTAGGGACAAACTCTGAATCATAGGCTCCAGCATATGTGATAAACCAACTGTTGTATATAGCATACACAAACAACATTTTTTTCCCACAGAATTCTGAGCATGCAGATTCCTTGATAATGAAGAATTAGAGCTTGAGGATCTTGGGACTTTCTGAAAAAAAATGTGGTTGTGATTATTCTTGTTGAAAATGGTAACAGTTTATACTGTCATTTTTCTGTAGAAAACGAGTAACTGAAGTATTAGAGTCAGTTTTCATTGCAGGAGAGTGCAAAGTGATGGAAACTTGTTAAAAGGGCAAGAAGACAGTGGTGTAAAAAATTAGGAAATATTATTACAGATTGATACAGATTGATTTGTTTGTTCAGGACAGTCAGTAGTTGCAACAAGAGCCACCGAAACCACATCCGTATAATATTAGAGCACTCCTTCATGGTCATCTGTTTTCTGAATGTCTGTCGTGGTTTTGCTTTATCTGAAATAACAGCTTGGCCTCTTTAAGAGCCCCAGTCACACTCGCTGGTGGCCCAAACCCTTTGGACCTGTGAAGAGGGTCCTTACTAAGCAGCATATGCTATGGCTAGTGTTATTGGATGGCATGCTCAAAAAATCAGGAATATTAGGTTTTTACAAAAAATGAAAAAACTCACTAAAAGCTGGGACCATGGCACATATCTGAATGTCTTGTTACAATAGTGACAGCTCAGTTGTAAAATATTCCTGCTTCACTCAAGAACCTATTAGACCACTGAATCAGTTTGCAGCCTGCTGGGAAAGCCTTCAAAGATTAAAATAGCTAAAAACACCCTTTTAAAGATAAAGTAATAACATTATGAAAACAGTACAGTTCTTTATGCCTAGAATCAATGTTTTAGCTTTTATTTTGCCCGTAAAAATGGAGACACTGTGGAAAGCAAAAAGTAAATTGCGCTCTGAAGAGGAGAGAGATGGATTCTAATCAATTCTTAGCTGGAGACTGATAAAAGACTGCCTGCGTAAATGGTTGCCTTCCGTTTGGTTGACTCACTTCTGCCCCAGAAGTATAGCCACAACTGTTCTTGATAAAGTAGTTGTCAGCCTTGCTTACGTGCTTGCAGTACAATGGCATGGTTGTATCGCATGGATTGTATAAAGGCACTGACTAAAGCAAACAAATGCTTCACCCACGCAATTACGGCCTAAAAAACCCCTTCAAATGTTTTAACACTCTGTGCAGTGTGACAACGGTTAGTTCAGTGCTTTATGAATGGAGAGGAGCCCTTTGTATAAAATATTTCCCCGTACAAACATCTGTCTGAATAATGCAAATGAGGGACTCTCGGGGGAGATGTTGTCTTGGTACTAAATAGACTCTTTGCCTCCTTGTTTGCCTCTTCTCACAGGTACTGCAATGAGCATTTGTTGTGCCCCCCTCATGTGTTTTGGACAGGCTGGGGTCCGTGGGAGCGCTGCACTGCTCAGTGCGGAGGAGGGATCCAGGCGCGCCGTAGGACATGTGAAAATGGTCCTGACTGTCCTGGCTGCAGCGTGGTAAGTAATTCTCCCTTCAGCAGATATCTATGGCCATATGCCATCACTGTCCCTGTGTCCGTAGGGCATCTGTGTATGTCTGTATGCTCTACCCCTAACATGAGTCACCAGAGTGTGTTTGTCTCTGTGTTGCTTGTGTGCACTGAAATTCACACAGTTTGTCAGTCAGAATTACATGTAATTCAGCTTTTTGACAGTACCATCTAGAATATGAGCTTCCTGAGGTGAGGTTGTTTTAGATGTGGATGCATCCTTGGCAGGTTTATGGTGTTCTTTATTTTTAATCACCAGAGTGCACAGGAACTCTTGTTAGGAGTGCAGGGCTCCAGTGTATCAGGTCCTGTACAGCACAGGAAAAGATAAGTTTAAATATGTAAGGAGGCAATAAGTGAATACGTGGAACAACCAGGAAGTGCTGAAGTAAGCTTGAATAGCAACAATGATCTTAGTGTGGCAGCAGCCTAGCAGCCGTCAGGCTTTGAAGCTACAGTGGGATGATTTTGAATGAATAGTAGTGCTTTATGGATAGCCAATTTATGAAGAGAAACATATAAAAAAGCATATAGGGTTTTTTCTTATATCTGACAAAATATAGGCGTTAGGTTTCATGTGGTGGGAGCATCAAAATGGGACATTGCTTTCTTGAAGGAAAAAAATGAGGGTCTACCACTTATGGAAGAAAGGGCAGGTGACTCGAGAGGAGTACAGGGGCCTCGTTAGTCATGCAGAGAGGAAGTTAGAAAGGCAAAAGCCCATCTAGAACTCAGGCTGGCCACTGTTGTAAAGGACAACAAAAAATGTTTTTGCAAATACATTAACAACAAAAAGAGGGCCAACGATGACCTTATTGGATG